AAGAGATAAATCTACACAATTCCTCTACAAGATCAGACTAACTGCAAACTTGGGAACTTGGGAACAAAGTAGAAATTAAGTGAGACTAAGAAGAAGAAACGTTAAAGTAAGTTTATTGACGTTTCAATTTTCACTTCGGAAATCGTTCTCAAAATACAAACATTAGTAAATGAAACAAATTTTGTTTTTTTGTTAAAAAAAAACAAAACAAAACAGCTTAAAAAACAATAATTAACGTTTGCTATCGATATCAACAAAAGGAATTCCATTTTAAACGTTCCAACTTAAAAAAAAGTACACTGGACAATTCAGCATTATGGAATTATATAGAGGCGAATCCCATTACACAAATCGAATACCATTTGAAACCGAAACTTTTCAACTGAACGCGACCTGCCAAACTTTCAGACAATAAACCGATATTGTAAACCCTCCGGTTTCATATCCTATCCGGGTTGATTCTGTTAATGCACAGCGGTGTAGAATAACACAGAATTCATCGGTTGACAGCATAGAAGTTGAATTAAATATTTCGGTTCCATTAAAATTTTAAATTAACTACATGCAAAAAGTCTTTGAGGCGTAAATAAATGCGCTGCTAAAATAACAAAACACAACTTTGAACAAACCGGAAATATATCACGTTTTAATAGCATTAATTTGGTGAGCCAAAAACCACTACAACTTGTTTAGCTTTTTTTACTTTTTCTCTACGTTGATTTCGTTGTGTTTTCTTGGTATATAATTAATTTTAAAATGTTGGCAGAAATAGCTAATAAGTCCAGTTCTGATACGTAAACGTATTTACCATTTTAGTCTACACTTACGGATTTAGTTATTTGTCTTTAATATTATAGAAAATATTTTAAACATACACACAAAAATTCTATCTTCATCATTTTTTCTTAATTATTTAAGGTTTGGTCATCATTTCATAAAGGTAATCTCTATATTTTGCTATTCCTATTAATAAATGTATATGCCTGTCAAATCTTTTAAACTTTTTAGTCACGAGAGTTTTCTTCTTCGCTGGGTTCTTGTTCTCGCAGTGTTTCCTCCATTGGGAGACGTAAGAAGCTATATAGGATTGTGCCATCGGTAAATGTATCCTAAAATGTAAAAGTTTATTTCTTCATAATGCTCCCAAGTTCTTTATCAGTTTTCATAATTTATAACAGATGTGGAATGTGTAGTTTTAGCTTTTTCATAATCTTTCTTTACCTGTGTTTTGTTTATTCTCATCATAAAACAAACTTCATTGCCAAGTTCTATATATCTATCTATATAGCCTTTGCTGTCCAATTTTGGACATAAGCCTTCTCTTCCTTTTTCCACGTCTCTCTATTGTAGGCAGTTTGTATCCACTTCGGGCCTGCGTGTTTCTTCAAGTCATCTGACCATCTCATTTGTGGCCTTCCTCTTTTTCGTTTGTAGCTATATGGTCTCCAGTGTATAATCATTTTATTCCATCTCTCGTCTTTCTGTCTTATGGTATGTCCAGCGAACTTCCACTTAAGTTTGGCTATCTGCGTTGACCGATATCAGTCACTTTTGTTTTGTTGCGGATCCAAGTATTTCTTTTCTTGTCTAATAGCCTGATGTTCAGCATTTGCCTTTCCATGGCTCTTTGGGTCTTTGCTATTTTTCTATGTTTTCCTTTGTAAACGTCAAAGTTTGAGAACCGTAGGTGAGAACAGGAAGTATACATTAATTGAAGACTCTTGTTTTTAAATATCAGGGGTATTAATTGATGGATTCGACCGTTACTTGATGGAAATCCATTTTATGTAACAATAAAACACTGAAAACTTTGTTTTCAAACTTCCACAAAATTTATTTTAAATTCTTATCACTACAGCTGTTTCGGCTGATTGCCTTTCTCAAGCGATCTATTTTTGGCATGCGTTTACACTTTATAGTCTTTAATGAAATAGGTTGAGGAGGGGAGAACTGTTTGTCTCAAGTTGAACATTCAGAATTATATCTGTGTTTTTTAATTTGTTGATTTCCATAGATTCTAACAAAGATAGCTTAAGGCCTTTATTTAGAATGTGAAGAATTTTAAATTCGTCATTAAAAGAATGATTATGATCTAGAAGGTGAAGTGCGTATGTAGAATCTGTTTTTCTATTATTAAAAGCCCTTTTATGTTCTGCTATTCGTTTATTAAAATTTCTACCCGTTTGACCGATGTAAGTTTTTGGGCAGTCGCCACATTTAAGTTTGTACACACCACTCTGTAAGTGTTTTTTATTTTGGCTCTTGTTGTTTTTAATATATTTGCTTAAGTTGTTGTTTGTTCTGCAAGCTGGTGTTATTCCTTTCTTTTTATGTGTTTGGCTATTTTTGTTGATATTTTGCCTGTATATGTAATCGAGCAGAAGGTACTGTGTTTTTTCTCTGGTGGTGGAAATACTAATTTCAGGGCCTGCTTGTGTAGTTTTTATTTAACATTTTAATAATTGTTTGTTCGTTGTATCCATTATTTACTGCTATTTGCTTAATTATTTTTAATTCTGTCTCAAAGTTGTATTTTGACATCGGAATTTCTGTTAATCTATGTAACATACTATGATAAGCTGCCAGTTTATGTTGTGTGGGATGGGATGATGAATTGTGTTAGTCGTGTCAGTATGGGTAGGTTTATGAAATATGGAGAAGTCATGTTTGTTTTTAAGTCTGGTAATTTTTACATCTAAAAAATTTATGGATTGATTTTGTTCTGTTTCTATTGTAAATTCAATATGACTATGAAGTGAGTTAATATACGATAAAAATTGGTCGAGTTGCCTGTTAGTTCCTGTAAAACATACTAGTACGTCGTCTACGTATCTCCACCAATATAAAAACTGTTTGAATATGGGATGTTTTGAAAACTTTCTCTCTAGATGATCCAGAAAATTATCTGATAGCAATGGGCTTAGAGGATTGCCCATTATAAGTCCTGCACTGTTATTTGTGTATATTTGATTATTAAATTCAAAGTAATCCTGGTGTATGGAAACTTCTATGGGGCAAACATCTATAGTCATTAAAAATAATTGGCGACAATACGTATCCCTGTCTCCTCCACATCTAATTTCAATTTTTTCTGATAGCTGTTCGTGAACCCGTACTTTGGCTTGCTGTTTAGAGTATACATTTGATATGATCCTGAGGTCGTTGTAGTCAATCTTCTTAGATTTTAGGACATTCATTAATTGTTTATGTTGCACTTTATCGAATGCTTTATTATAGTCAATAAAACATGCGTATATATCTTGGTTGACGTCCAGGCATCTTTGTATCAAAATAATTAGTGAAAAAATAGCTTCACGCGTTCCTAGGCCTTTGCGAAAACCAAATTGTGTAGGCTACGGTCATATTGGAAGCGTACTCTGACGACTAACGAGTCGGACGTACTCATGCGTAGTCGGACGATAGAAACAAACACGGCAGATAAATAGGAACGGTTATATTGAATAAGTACTAGCCGTCAGTTTTTGCACGTTTACGGACGACTAATTTCAAAATACAAACTTTTGTTTTTTTTTCTGCGGCAACGTGCGTCTGAAAATGGATCTTAAAAAATTAGTTTTGGGTGTATTTGAAAGAAAGTCATTATAGGACCAAACTAATAAAGATTATCACAATCGAGATATGGCTCGTAAGTGTGGATATCCCTGGCGAAAGAAATGGGTGAAAACAGTAATTATATGTATAGATATTTGCATTATTTTTAATCTAATATTTATTTAATACATACTAAAGTATATTATACTATTTAGTATCGTCAATAATTAAATTACGTATATGCATTTTATATTTTGACTAAACGATCATATTGAAATGGAATGGACCCAGCGTTACTATTAAAATAGGTTTTAAAAGCATTTCTAATATCGTATGCTTGTTGATTTGTTCTGTTGTTAATTCTTGATCTATTTGGTTGGTGCGTCCCCATAGTTGCCACTGTTTCTGAAGGATTAAATTCCTTTATACCTTTCTGGTCAATGACAATGTTATGAAGAATACATGTACATTTTACAATTATATCAACTTTGTCGGGGTAAACTTCCATTTCATTTTTTAATAGTCTCCATTTGAACCTTGAAAGTCTATAATTAAATACTTCTTCTTTCTACAAATCTCTTTTGGGATAGGGTCTTATTAAGTAGGTTTTGAGAGGATATGCTTCATCACCAAGAAGGACATGCGAAAGTACCAAATTGCTTTGTGAAAGTGCTCTATCTTCTCGCAAATTTAACGACTTATTTTGAAGATGTTGATACAGCGAACTCTGTGAAAAAATACCTCCATCGCTTTGTTTTCCAAAAGCCCCAATATCAACGCAATAAATCTGTACTTTGCATCTACAAATGCTTGAAGTACTACAGAGAAATATGGTTTATAGTTTATATTACATGGATCCTGAATTAGAGGGACATCTTATTCGAATATGTTTGCCATCGATACATCCTTACAATTCTGAAAATTACATTTATTTAAAAAATCATTGGAAATTGATCGAAACATGTCTTCTGTTGGAAAAGGCATATGCCGTTCATAAAAAGTTTCCCATATGATAGTGCACGTTTCGTAAACAATTAATCTTATAGTTGTGTGAGACATTCTGAATGAGAACGCCAAAGAGCGAAAAGTCAGTCCCAGTGGAAAGATATCCAAAACAACAAACAAAATGAATTAATTATTTTAAGACAATTATTCATAATAGTTATTATAACTATAGATAATTGTTTTAGATTTTTAGTTCACACAAACACACACGCTTTGCAGATGAATTTTAACTTATTAATTTTGTTTCAATTCATCGTAATACGTATTTAATTTTTCATTTTCTAAAACATACTATTTACTTCTTGACTTTTAGGTGATGTACTCAAATCGAAATGGCGAGGATTAAGAGATAACTTTAGAAAAGAACTAGCAAAAACAAATAAAGGGCGATCCGAAGAATCTGGTAAATATTAATAACATCAAATGGGCCTTATTTTACAATAATGCTTTTCCTAAAAGACAACATGACCCAAAGAAATGCTACAGGAAATATTCCTCCTCTCAATAACCAAGAAAATTTATATGATGAAAACAGTACGCCAGATACAATCTCTGAATCTGATTATGATAGAAATCATAATTCTAAATTAAATTCAGATCCAGAATTAAATACTGAAATTATTTTCACTGCGACACCCAAGGCTGCTAAAATAGCTAATACAGATAAGGAAACGGGTACAAAGGGAAAAAAAGCTAAATCTTCGGTATATGAAAAAATGGTAGCTATAGAAGAAGAAAAACTTAGAACATTAAAAGAAAAGTGCAAAGAAAGGCCAAAGGAAGAAAGGCCAACGTGCTCAGTATGTCTGGCCAAGAACTACTGCAGTGGATCAAGAAATCGATCAAAGCAGGTATCAAGTGGAAATACCATCAGATTCATCAGAAAACGAATAGGATGTCCAGGTGTGCGAGAACATTTGCATAATTTTCAGTAGTGTAATGACTTTTTTAGTTTATTTTAGTTTTTATATCCTAACTTCATAAAAATTATTTCTTTTTTAGGTTTTGTTTGAAAAATAAATGTAGTTTAATAAATAATTTCATAAGTACTGACTTACCTTAATGTTAATGCCAGTTTTTCTGCTGGTTGAATACACTTTCTAAAATTCGACTGTTTTTCCAGTCTTTCGGAAATATGAGACAAAATATAATTAAATGTTTCAGGTAACATTCGAAAATATTCAAAAACCTTCTGTGGTTGGCGTAACAAATCATTCCATATTAAGTAAAACTCGCCATTTTCTTCTCTATTTCTATATATATCATTTACCCATACTCTTGAGTTTTCTAACATCAAAAGACGTAAAAAATTATATTCTAATAAATATTCTTCATCCTCGGCCATGTTTTCTGAACACATAATCGCAGTTAAACGCTTGCAATCCGACCACCTAGTCGCACTACCAATGTCGTCCGTTTATGTCCGACTGATTGGTCGTCAAACAACGCGTCCAATATAACCGTAACCTTAACGTCTATGTCCAGTTTGTGATATATTCGGTTATATATGACTCAAATAGTAACTTTAGCATATGAGACATTAAGCTAATGGTGCGTTAATCGCTGCATTCTCTTGCGTTTTCCTTGTTAGGGAGACAAATAAAAATCTATGTTAACCACTCTTTTTGTAATATACCTAAACTATAAATTTGGTTCAAGAGTGTCACTAAAATATCAATGTGCTTCTTATCTAGAATTTTTAGGATTTCTATAGGAAGCATGTCAGGTCCAGGGCTTTTCCCACTCTTCATTGTTTTTAATGTGTGTAATATTTCTTCTTTTATAATGTATGGACCTATTTCTTTTGACGTAAGTTCTGTGTACTGCCTTTCATCGTCAAACAATTTGTCGATATATTTTGCCCATCTTTGTACTTTCTCGTCCGTATGTGTTATAGTAGTCCGTCTATCCAAAATTGTACGAGTGGGATTTTGTTTTCTTAGACCTGCCAGTTCTTTTAACTTTCTTGTGTAGGTTAAACAAATCATATTTATTTTGAAGCTCTTCGATCTCTTTGCATTTCTCTTTAAAGTATTTTTCTTTTGCCTGATTTATCATCTTCCTGATCTCGTGGTTTATCTCTCTGTATTTATTGTGTCCTTGTTTTTAAATTGTTTCCGTTGTTCCATTATATTGAGTATCTCGTCATTCATCCATTCTCCTTGCGGAAGTCTTTAGTATTTCTTTACAGGGTTCCAGTAGACAATATTTTAGTCGATCCCAGTACTCGTCAATATCGTTGGTGTTTGTGTTCAATTTGCTGCAGTTTACATGCAGTTCATGTTGGAGGCATTTTTTTACTTTAGGTTCTTTAAGTTTTCTTGTGTCTATTGTAGGGATTCTTTGATGTTTTTTAATATTTTTAAGTGTGAGTGTAATTTTGGCGATAATTGGATTGTTATCTGAGGCCATGTCTGATCCAGGATATGCTTTCACGACTTTAACAGCATTACGGTATCTTTTATTGATCATAATGTAGTCTATCTGGTTCCTGACTACTTTCTCCGATGTATCTGCGGGCGATCGACATGTATACAGTCGTCTATTTGGTAACTTAAAAATGTGTTTGTAATAATAAAGTTTTGCTCGTGACAGAATTGTAACAGACGGTCTCCCCTCTCGTTTCGATTTCCCAGACCATAGTTTCTTATACACTTTCCGCTTTCTCTCTTTCTAATATTTGCATTAAGATCACCTAGGCCTATCATGATTTCTCTTGTTTTCGTTATTCTAAGTTCCTCTTCGATATCTCGTAAATATATATATATATAATATATATTAATATATATATATATATATATATACAGGGTGGTCCTTAAGTAATTGTACAAAAAGGAACCGCAGATTCTATACTTTAAAATATTACGATTTAAGCCAACTTGCTTTAATAAAATGTATGATATTAAAAAAAGATACAGGGTGTTAAAGTGGAAATTTAAAATTTTATTTTTCGCTATAACTTTCATGTTTGTAAAACGTTTATATACAAAAATTTACAGCTGGGTACTTATTTAATATCTGGAATTAAAATTTGATAAATATTTTAATATAGCTAATAGAGGGCGCCACATATGAAACATACGTGGCTTAAATTTGCACTTAACTTTTTTGTTCTTTAAGCTACCGGTATTTAAAATAAAAAATATTAAAGATACATTATTTTAACACAAAAAAAAGGTATACTTGTTAATAACTTCAAAACTAAATAGTTTTCGAGATAATTGCATTTTACAAGTCAACTGCATAATTCTGATTTAACGCAATTACTCCAGGCAATGAAAGAAAAATAGATAAAAACATCAATACTTCTGAATTTTGTTATAAAATACCTTAATAAAGTCAATAATTAACGAAATATTAAATAAAATAAATATATCAGCAGGATAATTAATAATAGGATTTGATAAATAACAAAATTAATTGGATTTTACATCAAACATTTTATTTTAGTTTGTATTAAATTAAAGTCATAATCAAAACATTTTATTTACAAACAAATTAAGAAATAGTTAAACTAAATAACATTAAACTTTTTGTCAAAGTAAGTGTTCACTATGTCCACCATTTTCTTTAATTCATTTGTCAATAATTCCATAAAATATCGTCCCATATTAAATAGCGTCATTGGTTCTAAAGAAACTGCTGCAGTATTTATTATAAGTGTTATGAGTATAATAATAAGTAATTTTTTAAATGTTTATGAATTAAATAATTATATTAATATCTCACCACAAGAATGTGACTAGCATGAACAATCCAACGTTCAGGAAAGTTTAAAGGAGTATTTAAATACTGTCTCACTCCGCTTTCTCTGTAATGTAATGGTGTACCATCTTGTAGAAACCACATATTTCGCCTTAAGTTTGATGACAATTCTTCCAATAAATCAATAAAATCATTTTGTAAAGAATGTAAATAAATCTCACCATTCAAATTGAAAGATAATTCGTATATCCGTAAAACATCATTCAAAATTGATATTTAAATGCATGTCCTATGGTTTGGAACCATTGATAATTATTTTTTACGGATATGCGAATTATTTGCAATTTGAATAACGAGATTTATTTACATTTTTTATAAAATGATTTTATTGATATATTGAAAGAATTGTCATCAAATTTAAGGCGAAATATGTGGTTTCTACAAGATGGTAAACCATTACATTACAGAGAAAGCGGGAGTGAGACAGTATTTAAATACAACTTTCCTGAACGTTGGATTGTTCATGGTAGTCTTATTCTTGTGGTGAGATATTAATATAATTATTTAATTCATAAACATTTAAAAAAATTATTTATTATTATACTTATAACACTTATAATAAATACTGCAGCAGTTTCTTCAGAACCAATGACGCTATTTAATATGAGACGATATTTTATGGAATGTATTGACAAATGAATTAAAGAAAATGATGGACATAGTGAACACTTACTTTAACAAAAAGTTTAATTTTATTTACTTTAACTATTTCTTAATTTGGTTTGTAAATAAAATGTTTTGATTATGACTTTAATTTAATACAAAACGTAAAATGTTTGATGTAAAATCCAATTATTCTGTTATTTATCAAATCCTATTATTTTATTCTGCTGATATATTTATTTTATTTAATAATTCATTAACTATTAACTTTATTAAAGGTATTTTATACCAAAATTCAGAAGTATTGATGTTTTTCTTTAATTTTCTTTCATTGCCTGAGTAATTGCGATAATTCAGAATTATGTAGTTGATTTCTAAATTGCGATTATCTCGAAAACTGATGAGTTTTGAAGGTATTAACAGTATACTTTTTTTGTTAAAATAACGTATCTTTAATATTTTTTATTAAAAATATCGGTAACTTAAAGAACAAAAAAGTTACGTGCACATGTATGCCACATATGTGGCATATGTGGCGCCCTCTATCAGCTACATCAAAGTATACATCAAATTATAATTTCTCATATTTAATAGTACCCAGTTGTAAATTTTTATACATAAATGTTGACAAACATAAAAGTTATAGCGAAAAATAAAATTTTAAATTTCCACTTTAACACCCTGTATCTTTCTTAATATCAACATTTTATTAAAGCAACTTGACTTAAATCGTAATATTTTAAAGTGTAGAATCTACGGTGTCTTTTTGTACAATTACTTAAGGACCACCCTGTATATATATATATATATATAAGAGTAAGAAAAAAAGAAGTACTTGTGACACGTTTGGAAAAAAATATTAAAACTGTTTTTTGATGGGTTGGAGTCAATAAAAGGGGCTATTTGTTGACTATTTTTTACTCGAGCTTTCAATTGTGATACAAATTCAATTTTTTTCTTAAGAAACTTCATCAAAATTTTTCAGAGAAACATTTATTAGAATAAGACATTTTTTTATTAATATTTTTTGTATTTAATATGTAAGCAGTAGTTTTATATAAAAAACTAATTTTATTTGGTGAGTTAACAAAAAATTTTTTATTTCTAGTTTAACTTTGTAAGATATTTTGTATTTTTTAGAAGCTCTTGATAAAAATTGTAATCACAATTGAAAGCTCGAGTAAAAAATAGTCAACAAATAGCCCCCTTTTATTGACTCCAACCCATCAAAAACAGTTTTATAAATATATATATATATATATTATATATATATATATATATATATATATAAATTGGTATTATATGATTGTTAAAAAAAATATAAATAGGGAGCTAGTAAAATGTTTAAAATCAATAAATTCAACTTACTCTGTTTTTAAAACTACCATTTGAACTGTCAACAAATTTGTTTGTAATACATAAGTACTACGACTATTAATACTACGTTAATAATATATAAATAATTAATATACAGACAATAATTACGATAATTAACAAATTTTTAATTTTATTACTACAGCTTTATAAATGTTTTC